CCCCCCCCCCCCTCCCGTAGCTCCACTTTAGGAAATGGATGGCTAGAGGGGAATTTCTCTGAAAGGCTTCAATAAATGTCAACAGAAGAAAAATGAAGAGAGGGAGAGGGAAGAGGCCGGGGCCAGTTTAGGCAGTAATCCACTCTGCGGCTCAGGCTGAATGGATGGGCTGAGGAGCGGGGAGATGGCCCATTATGGTAGAGTACCTTAACATACCCATGGAGTGTGTGCTGTTATTTATACACACAGTCCTGTAATGACACCAAGAAGGAAAACCTCCCTTGAGGTACAAAAGCAAAAAGTTCCTGTTTCTAATAATTCTACTGAGTGACCACAGCTTTGCCACAAACGTCTTTTGTGTGAATCTTACCAACGGTGACCAGACTCTCTGTGAGGAAAGCGTGCATTTCATGAACATCTTTCATCAGCTGAGCATCTCCAAATGTGAAATACGCCACATCTCGCCCAGCCTCTGCTGCTGCCATGAATTGAATCAGCGCTGAAAAAGAGAGAAGGCGAATTTCAAGACGAAAATTCAGGCGACAACATTCCAGAATAAAACTATAAAGGTGTAATTGAGCGCTGAAAAGCATGACAGACTAAATAATTGGTCAATAAGCCAGATAACGTACAGCCTGTGGCATAAAAGAACATGAGTGGCAATTTGTATTAGTGGAGTAAATAATCCAGTGTTGGTAGAATAGCCTCGTAAACAGCATTCAGTCTCTGAGCTCCTGCAAATTAGGTTTCATGATTTTTAAATATTTAACAGAATGGTTATACAGTTCAGATTAATGACATCATTTGCAAAAGCTCTGTAATCTTTACTTCAAAATACCCGACTAGTGTTATGTAAATACCACATCTCAAGTCAGCTCCTGGACGTTCATGTAAAATACAGTTATTAGCTTCCAAAAATACCAACTATGCTAACACTGGAGCTAATGGGCGGGGCCCCCCCGGAAGCTAATATCATCCTCGGGGACTATGTGAAGTCCAGGGGATCTATTCATAGCATGCTGCAGAGGAAATTAGCAGCTTCAGTTTTAAATCCAACAGTCCAGAAGCACAGCCTTAAAGCACTGATGTGCACAGCAAAAACAGGGTACATGCGCCATGAATTTAGGCATACAGAAAACTCTGCACATCCAACACACAATTGGCCAAAAAACAACAGTAAGGGTCTCCCTGCTTATGAAGACTGATGTTGTGTAAGCAAACTGAGACCAGCATCAGCTGGATTTATGGTCGTCTTTCTCTGTAATCAATCGCCCATTTAATGGAAAACATAAATGTGTCAGATGATCTATAAAAGACTGAAAAGGGACAGGAGAGTGACACCCTGGGAGAGCTTCTAATTGACTAGAGAGGCTTGAGAGAAACAGCATCTTGGAAATTGTCGTACACCATTAGCTACATAAATGCTGAAAGTCCTTCAGCAGGGGCTCTACTGACTGGGAGATGCCGTGATCAAGTTTGAGCTACTGATATTCACTGCAGTCTTGGGAATCCAGCCTTAAATTTTTAACGTCAGAAATGTGACGCAGATGCTAGCCTAGTTTATAGATTTTGTTGCCATAAATCATCCAATTATACCTTTGAGCCGTGTGTCTCCGCCAAAAGCTCCGCAGCCCCAGTTGCCTGTGGCCACTGCAGAGAGGTGCTTCCTGTTGGCATTATTTCGATGGAATCCGCAGTATGCCTGGAACGAAAACAAAAGAGGGAGAAGGATGTAAGAGTGGGGAAGACAAACAAACAGTACAGTCTTTTCTATGATCTCTCAGAGTCTATAAAAATTAATTAAAATCACATTAATGTATAATGTGGGGGGGCAAGTGTTAACCCTCAGGCTGAACCATAAGCAAATATAAAAATATGCAATAAAGCATTTACTCGACTGAGAAGAGAAAAAAAGTCCGTTAAAAAAGTGCATAATATATATTTTTCTTAGTCATGTGAAGAAAAAAACTGCAGTAAATTGGGAGTAATACTATTGAGAGTTATGTAGTATTTAGCAGTTAAGCGGTTTTACATATCACTTAGATTTTAGCAGCTGTACCAGACAAAATGTCAAAGCTCATGGTAGTGAACATTTTATCAAAAACAATATAACATCGGCCGTGTTCGGCACCATCGCACTGACACCTTTAAAAAGGTACTACAAATTAGAGCAGCACTTTATAGGTTTCTTGCCACCTTTCACAAACATGTTTGGAAAAAGAACCGCTGAACTAAATCTTCCCTCACCTTGTTGAGTTCTCTGGTCATCTTCTCGGGCAGAAACTGTTCCAGGAAGTGCCTGTATTTAAGAGCATCAATGGCCACAATCTCTGTACATCTTCTCTGCCAGTCATCCCTGGGAATGAAAGAAAGATTTTACATTTAAAACATCAGCACAAGTACCAACAAACACAAAAATAATCCTATGGAGGGGAGAGAAAAAATTACCTGGGTGTCTCGTCTTTGTGGATACCCACCCATTTGTAACTCTCAGCATAGCCAGAGTATTTACTGTATTGTTCAGCTCCTGCAGTATAAGACAAGGGAAATACAATATTACTCATTGCTCAGCAGTCAAAGCACACAGCAGGTTCTAAAATCAAATTTAGCGCTTTCTATGCTCCACATGAGCATACAGAGTATCAGCTTATATTGAATTGTCACGAATAAAGCCCACTGATTTAATAAGTAATCTGCTATGGGGTTTTAAATGAAAAGCTTTGAGCTACAACTGGGAGAAAATGTAAGAACAGAACAAGCAAAAATTAATTACTGACACACCCGTGTTTTTAAGAGATTGAGTCCTTTGTAACACCTAGGGTTATGTCCTAAGGGTTAGAATAATACACCTATGCTTCTTTCTGAAAAGGCTGCCCCTTAAAGGCTCCATACATTAGGAATGATGTGGTTATATAACACTTTGTTGAAGAGTAGAAGTTAAACATGTGAACTAAAGTTGTATGAGCAGAGTATGAGAAAGTGTTTCTTAAGTTAATGGGCAGAAGCCACTAGAACAAAAACCAGCAAGTATGGATAATTTTGCAAATATTTAATAAAAAAATTTTAATGTACATTTTTTTCTGCATTACATATAAAACTTTTTTTGTTTCCACAGAAATTGCGTTTTCTAGTAAGGCACTGGCTGTGCCTTACTAGGCACAGTTGATTTAAAGGATACTGTGCCACTGCAGGTCCAGCACTGCAATTAAAGTGCTTTCCACAACACCAGCGACTCCTAACGTCAAAGAACAGGCTGCCCATATCACTGTGTCCACCAAAATTCTTCCTCCTCTCTATTCACCTTGAGCCACTTCAGTCTGGCAACCGCCCATAATGGCATCCCGCTATGCTGACGTCCATCAGGAGATTGCATCGCAGACCTTGTCTTCCGGTGTAAAACGCCAGTGGGCATTCAAACTTAGACTTGAGTTTTGTTTTACAAGTACTCTGACATTAAAGTTTCAGATGCACTTGAAGACTTGTGCTAGGGCATCGCTAAAGATGAAGAAATATGATCAACTCGACAAAAGAGAAAAGAGTCTAGCAAGAGAAATGGGACTTTAAGAGGAAACACAGCATTCGTGCAAGGAATACTGAAGATTTTAATGAATCTATGGCATAACTGGCCCATTCCATTAGTGCAGCAATGACCTTAGTTGGGCTATAAATTCTTTTCTGTCCAAATGTAATAAAGTTAAGTGGAGAGGAGGAGGATGGAAGAGGGAGGGAAGCACTATAAGGGGAGGGAAAGAGGGGGACAGTGACTAACCACCTGAAGGTCACTGGGGAGAGATAGGAATTTCAAGGAAGACAACATGGCGCCACATAAAAACAGACAACGATTGGCTTGCTGACAGAGTTCGGGTTTTTTTTCCATTGTGTGTGTTTCTTTGGTAAAGTGGTCCAGCAGCATGAACGTCATCCTATTTGTTTTTTCTACTTTTTAACCGACCAAAATAACAAGCATATAAAGTATGCCGAGGGACATCCGACAATGCAAATGTATTTTAATTTTTTTCAGATTTGTGTCACGTTACAAAAAAAACAGAATCAATCAATAGCAGGCATTTTTGAGCGATTTAAGTCAAAAAGATATATTCTCATGCCAAAAAGATGAATTTATCAAACAGCATAATGTCTCAAAATGACCATTTTATGAAATAAAAGCATCAAAACAGTAAAACAAAGTAAGTGTTTATATTTTTTCCACACGTCTGCATATCTTAATCTGCACATACTTCTTTCTGTTGACACTGTCGAGATGTGAGGCAAGGAAAAGAAAAAAAGAAAAGGTAGGATGACCAGAATTGCAAGAGGGAGGCAAATGAGAGGAAAGAATAACCGAAACACTGAGTTGGAGGTTGAAAAATAGAGCAATTCTGCTTGGGAGAAATGAAGGATAACCAAGCAGTCCCATCTGAATCAATGCAATGGATTTACCTTCGGACTGGAAGGAAGTATGAGGGCAAAAATAAATGGAGCCCAATAAACACAAAGAGCTCAATGAACAGGAGAAAATAACTCAGTGATGGACGAAACACCGGTTTGAACCAAAATGTAATACTAGAAAGGCATGGGAGATACATAGATGTGTCTAGTTTCTATTGGAGAAAGAGGAAAGCCAACACAATACCAAGGAATAATTGCCAAATAATAGCCTATATACCCCATGGCATGAAGATAAATTAAATGTAGAGTATTTATAGTCTGGTTACACCATATATCAGTGTCTAGTGGTTCTATATGTTTTGTAATAGTGTTTACTTTCTACTTGAAATAATCCAGTACATGTACATTACATAAGGGGACAGCTAGCATTGATACTCAAGTATTATTACACAATCAATAAATCTATCTATCCATCTATCCATCCATTTTATGACAATATTGCTATGTTACAGGATCAGTACTCTAGATTTTCCTCTCCCTAACCACCTCCTCAAGCTCTGAAAGGCGGTATAGAAGGGGGACACCAACAGCCAACCAACAGATGTAAGTTCTCAAGCACGTCCTGACTCCGCCACATCCTCTCCTGGTAGGCGATACCTGTAGAAGGTGCCTGTAAGTATCTTAGTCAGATGTCTAAACCACCTCGACCATGTCCTTTGATATGTAAAGGTACTATAGCAGCTCAATACTGAGCCCCTCCTAAATGACTCCTCATCCTATCTTTATAGGAGAGCCCTTTCGGAAGAAGCTCACTTCCCCCACTTATGTCCACAAAATTACTCTTTCAGTCACTAGCTAAAGCTACTGACTTATTAGAGTAGGGATGTAGATCAACCAGTAAATTGATAGGTTTGCCGTCTCTTCACCACCACCACAGATCACACTGTACCGAACGCTGCACAGCTCCTCTACTCGAGACAGCAAGTGGAGTGAGCACTGAGTGAGCCCTCCACCCATTTCCAGCCAACAACTACTATCTCAAAATTGACTTGCCAATTTCATTCCCACCATATCACATTCAGTTGCAAACCAGTCCAGTATGACCAGGAGGTCATTAGTCATTGAATTAAAAAAAAACACCTCATTCACAAAAAGCAAAGAGGTGATTCTGAGGCCCTCAAGCTAGAGACAAGCCGCTATTTGGCTATGCCTCAAAATTCTACCCATGAAAGTTATGAAGACAACCAGTGACAAAGGGCAGACCTGGCAGAGCCCAAACCCCACCACAAACAAGCCCAACTAAGTGGCAGCAATGCATAGCATGCTTTCACTTAGCTATAGCCCAAAACAAGAGGCCAAATACACAATACTCCTGAAAAACATCCCACAGAACATCCCAGGGAAAACCGTTAGTCAAACTCCCTTGAGATGATCAAGACCTTTTCCAGTGTTTGACAACCAGGTTGAAACCACACTGTTCCTTCTGAATCAGAGGTTCTAACTAATAAATGGACTCTCCGGAGGATCATGCTCATCAGGCTCTCATTGTTGTTGCCCAGGTGAGCATGGAGATCCCCTGGAGGACAGCAAAGTCCCCACATGGTGACACTTACAGCGTCCTGCTCAGTGACTCCAAGAAAACTTTTCAGCACATAAGCACAAACAAAAGTCAGGACCAATTCCCCAGGCAGAAAGAGCAGGGAGACAACCTTCTTATCCATCTGAAAACAACCCCAAAACATGAAATCACTTTTTCTTTAACTAAAAAAAAAATAAAAAATAGATTGCAGTGATCAAGTTCCCAGTAACAATGTCATACAAATCAAAGCCTCAAGACTTAAAAATGCATATGTTTGTGTGAGAAAAAGAAAGAAACTACACACCTGTGATGATGAGGCATTCATTGTATTCAAGAGCTTCAGTAAAGAGGCGAGAGATAATGAGTTCAGGGTTGATAAGGAACCTGATTTCTTCTTGGACCAGCCCATGTCCTGTGACTCCACCACCTACAAACCTGTTGGCAAAGTCCACCTAGTGAAATACAAAAAGAAAAAAAGAAGGACATTTGTTTGGCCTCAAACTTGAAATTAACATTTATTTAAAAAAAATACAGATTTCTATTTGGTTTGTTGCATGACATGACATGTACGGTATGACATACTGCCCTTTGACCTATCAGTATAAATGAGAGAATTTGTGAAATTCTGTCACTGTCACTCCTGTTATTTAAACAAATACTTCAATTAGTGTCTCATTATCTATCCTTTTGTCCACTGTGGCCATTTATATCAGATAAATCTATAAAGATCATTGCAATGATCCTTCCTGCATGGAAATAATCCAATCAGGAAATTGTAACAGAACACAACCCATGAAGTCTAAAGATGTACTTCAAATCTACAGTGCATGAATGTGTGCAGATTTCCCACATGTCTGAGTTTTGCATTTTCTAAGAGGCCTCACTATTCATTATCTATTCAGTGTTTATTCAACAAAGAGAAAAAGGAACCGACCAATAAAAGGTCATTGCTGTTCAGCAATCTGCCAACTTTATCTGCGTTTTATCCAGTTGCATCTTTTATAACTTACTAAAGGTAAAGGACTTGTCCATCTGAAATTTTTAAGACTGAACAACATATTTGAGTTATGTCAAAAACTACAACCAAACCAATTTGACACCAACTCCTAGTGTCACAATCTAAAGTCACAAACCCTGAGAATCAATATACAGTCAGGTAAAGAAAAGAAAAGTGCTACAGCTCTGATTCTACAGGCCTCAGCTACCATGTTAAAAATGAAAGTTCATGACAATACAATTAGAAAAAGACAATAGTATGGAAGGGTTGCCAAGGGAAACCCTCTTCTCTCTCTCTGCAAAGAACATGGCAGCACAGTGTAGGTTTGCCAAGTTGGATCTGAACAAACACCAAGACTTCTTGAACAATGTCCTTTGGAGATGTTTGATGAAACCAACACAGCTTCTCAGCAGAAACACCTCAAACCATGTCAAGCACGGTGGTGGAGTGGTGATGAGTCAGGCTTCTTTTGCAGTCACATGACCATGTTTTTCAGTCTTAAAAAACTTCAACCCAATCCAGCTAAAAAAAAATACATATATAATGATATGAAATGACCAAAATAAGAGTCTGGACTGATATTAATGACATTTTCCACATTTCAAAATCCTCTCTGTTACCCACAAAGTTCAAGATCTACACTGAATAGAGTCCAAGAAATAAAATTTTAAAAAACAGCCCAGGGATTTGTTGAAATAAGATAAATCCATACCAATAACCGATATGTTTGTGCTTATTTCTAGGACTCATGCTTCTTTGGGGAAGTATTTTCAGTGTGGTGCTTGAGCTTCATGCCTTGAAAGACCAGATCTTGTTTTTGTGGCACGCATAAGAGAACATCCCATGCAAATCACAATGCAGATATTTAAACAGCTTGTCAGGGGTGAAGGTTCTGCTCAGTGGCCCACAGCTACGTCAATCTGTGTGACAGTGGGTTTGTGTATGTTTTCTAACCAGCCACTCAACTCCTCACCTTCACTGGTTTACCCCTAACCTCACCCCCCACCCTTCAATCTCACCTCCCGACAGGATGACAGCTCGCTCTGCCCTATCAAAACTCAACACACAACCAATATCCAGCCTGCTGAGGTAGCCATCAATCCGCCTACAGGACTCCAAGCTCACTGGGTCACCCCAGTGAGATGGATCCCCGACGTCATCTTTGTCTCTGTGTGCCTCCTTCTCCCTCATCCCCCACCCCAGGGTCCTCTCCTCCACCCTTGCCACTCGGAGCTACTCATGTGTATACATCAGCTGTCAACTAGAGTAAAATAAATGCGGCAGCTACACAGAAACAACAAGGGGGGTAAGAAGATGGGGTGAGTCACTGCAGACAGAGATTCAATAACTTGCATTGATATGCACAAAAATCATACAACTGGTTTAAAGCTGAAGGTCATATTTTTACTTTTTAAGCAAGAAAAATAGACTGATTGACAGAATCATACTCATTAGGTGTAACCACAGTAAAAAACTGCAGAATACTATTTGTATTTAAAATTAAAATTCTCACATTAAAAGAGAAAAGATGCTGTTAAGAAGTGCTTTGGATATTTTTAACAAGACATGGATGACATGAAAGTATTTAATTACTGAAGTCAGAGGTAAAACTGTGTGCTTAGTGTGTGGTAAAACATTCCTACCTGGAGCATTCCATATCCATGTTCCTCAATTGTCCCTTCACAAGTGATATGCAGGCGTGTCAGCTGAGTCTGAGAGCTGGACAAAAAAAAGGGGAGAAAAAAAACCAACGATTACAAACACTTCAACATTCATGTGGACTTCTCATCCACATTGGGGCCCTTTACTCTTTCAAATCCACCCTTTAAAAACACTGTCCTACTACTACATTCATTGTAGGAATTTATATAATGGCAATTATCTGTGCACATGAGCACCAAAGAAGCTATGAGGAGTTGATGGTCACTATCCCACTCAGACAAAATCAACACACTTCAGAGATATTCAGGAAAGATTTAGTGAAACTTTGATAGAATTTCAGGGTTTTACTGCCTGTTAAAATAACAATTACTCCCCTACAACAATTATATGCCTTCACAGAATGCAGAATATACTATTTGTTTTGGACAGAGTATGCCATGAATCGCAAGATAATTTATTTTAAATGCACTTCATTAGTTTATTATGTTCATAAGGAACCAGAGAAGTAATTATTACCTTTCCCAGTCTGGTGGATTGCTTAGTGTTTGTCTTGTAAATGTAACAAGACCCTTGGGTGCTTAAAAATAAAGCAGACAAAAGGTTATTCAACTGAAAGACAACAACTTCTACAACATTATGTTAGTTATTTTCATTGCTTACTAGTCTCTGTAACTCTCCTGAAGTAACACAGCAGAGTTTTCAATTTCTCAATTTTTCTTGGTGAAGGACCTTCAAACAACCTGAAACCAAAAGAAAATGTATGTCTGAGTTAAAAAAAACACTTAATTTAAAACACTACATGAAAAGGTTTATACAACTTCTGAAAAAAAGAGTAAAATGTACAGTATCTCCCCTTCAAAGTAGTGTCTGTATGCCGTTCAGGCATATAAACAGTCAAACAAATTGAATGGTGACACTTGGCATTGTGCTATCCATCCAACTATCCAGTAGACCAACAGGAGGGGATGTAGAAGTGCAAGTCATCACAGCAACACTTCCACAGCAATGCTGAAAGCATAACCTTCGCAGAATATCTACGATGGAACATGAAGCCAAATCTAATTCAGGTCTAATTTTAGATTTTTATGGGGCAAGTTCCAAAACTTTATAATAGCACCTGTATTTTTGACATTAAATAATGTGTTACATTTTAGAAGATGAGAGGCATTAATGTTTCACTCATTTATTATCTAAAGCTCACTGCACAACAGGAACATGAGTGAAGTCATGCTTTCAAACTGGCATGATGTCTCTCCCATCTACCCTCATCCTTCATACAACGGCACTGCCTGAGGCCCCGTTTCAGTTTTTCAGTTACTATTAAACTAGGGTGGAGGGATGGAGAGAGCATTGGATGGAAAGCTTAAATCACCCCCATTCTAGTACACTCCCTCCATTAAAAGCGACCTAAGCTGATGACTAACCATAGTTCAGCATCTCTCCCTCCCACCACTTTCTGCTCAGACCGGTAAAGAAATACAAACAGAGGGAACAAATTAAATGAAAAGGTCATTTGCTAAAAGCCTTACTGTGAGTAAAGAAAAAAAGCTATTTATTTAAGATAATTTTTTCATGTCAGTTTTGGTTTTCTCTACACTATTTCCTTACACAGCACCTTACTCATCCTCTGTGAACCCCTTCACCCCATCAGTTCCTTTAGTCAGTGTTAATTTGGCATAATGTATCCTGGAGGACAACATTACTATGAGAAAGTGTAAGTGAAACAAGTAAATTACAGTGGGATTTACAGTATAGCCACAAATTATACCGCACTTGAGAAAGAAGGACTACTAATTATGAAGGATTTTGTTACAAAATATACTGCAGCAATTTTCATTTAAGGACAGTAATTAGCTGGTTCTTGTCGTCTATAACCGTACCTACTGCATAAAGTGCATATGGAGACAATATTTCTGACAGTTTTGCCATAACCTGTTCAGCTATTTTCTTGCAAACAAGGTAGACCATCTCACAATGATTTAAAAACAAAAACGGGTATTTATTTCTTACTAATGAGCCTTCATTGTTGACCAAACTGTTACTGGAATTCCCTATGTCATTTTCTTCTCAAACCCAGGAAAAGACAAGCCATAAAATGACAAGTCTTCTGCTTTCTATCCTCTTCCTTGAATCTATCCATCACTTAACAGAGGACAAATCTCGACAGTTCTGCCAAAACAGCAATCAGCAGATTGCTTGCTGCTCTGTTTGCCCAAGACAGAGCGTTAGTGTAACCGATAAGCAAAGTGACGGACACTCCCTCAATTACTGCGAGAAGGGGAGGGCGTGTAACGATCCAGGACCCATTTTAGACTGCAGCGGTTGTCTCGTCTCGTTTCCTCAGAAACACAAAGACTTTTTTCCCTTCTCTTGGCCTTTCCTGTATTTTGCTCTAGGCAGAAATACTGACAGTGAAGGCAGACCCAAGTGGTCTGAAACAGCCAACGCTGCAACTAAAATCAATACTTACATCATTACAGACACAGATATCGTGCCCTCAAACAGATGACACACAGATGACACTGAAAGTGCAATTATGGTTTAGATAAAATAAGGCAGCTGAAGGTTATATGGACCAAATCAAAGATAATTAGTAGGATGACAGGATTTGTAAAATAATTCTATCGAACCTTAAAGACAGAGCAGATGCATAATACTCTGAACTAGAGGAGGGAGTTATTTGCCGTATAATACTATAACAACAAGAAATATTTAGGAATTCATGCAGATAGCAGGAGACTATGTAAAGCTACAGAGTGGGATCACCAAGTGCTGGGGCGCAAAGTGGTTCCCAACACTCTGCTGACTCAGTAACTACAGTGCAAACCTCCGCTGGCACTGACATTAGTACAAAAACTGTGCGGCAGAAGCTTCATGGCAAGCTCCTTTGCCTTCATGGCATAAGTTTCCACTGTCAAGCAGCTCCTGTAGATGTGATGTGTAGGTGACCAGTACTTTGTCAATATAGTCTAAGATGCATAAATCAAGTTATATTGATATGAATGAGATGTTATTGCTGTGAATTCAAATCACATTGTGCTTTTATAAGATGATAAAGGGAATAAATATATAGACAGTATAAAAGGTGGATTCAGCCCATGGTTGCTGAAGTCCTGTTTTGAAGATCTCTGGCTCTCTTCCACATTTTCTCTTCATTCACCCTCAACTGGTCAAACCAGATGGCTGTTTTTTTCCCCCCACTGTCGCCAAGTGCTTGCTCAGGTGACTGTTGTGGTAATTTAGCCTTATATAAAAAAAAAACAAATGGAATTCGACTGAAAGATGAAATTGAGTGTTTCTGCTATTGCCTTGCGTCTGACTGTGAAACCGCACACTCATTGGATAATAACTTGTGATTAACAGTCTATTAGCCAGTAAACATGTGGTTTCATAGCACAGATAAGCCTCCAGTTTTGAAACATAATATAATGAAGATTTACAAATTCAAATGAATTTTTATTCAATATGATCAAAAAATTTGTGACTGAGGCCATAAACTCAGATCAACAGTGTTTACAAAGGCCAGATCAGAAAGCTGCTCTTTCGTAGACTTCTACAGGACCAGAAGTCTTTTTTTCAACTACAGCTATCGCCATCTGGTGGCTTTCAGATAGAATGGAGGCTTTAAGGCACTTCTACATTGTTTCACACAGTCTACACATAAATGTTACCAATGGGTCATTTTAACCTGTTAGTAGCTAGTTGCTAGGCAATGTCATGGCATCATAGTATCAGATACAGATAAGAACCATCAGGGGTCAAAGATGTACCTGTGTGCCCATTTTGACTGTTCAACTCCTGAACATGAAAGAGCTGTTTGTGGGCAGATTTTGTCTGTTATGCTAAGATTTATTTTCCAATTTATTTTGACAAACACCACCATGATGAGCGATGAACTAGTCACTCTGGTGAGTCAAACTGGCGCGGGAATCCATTAAACACCTAAAATGAATACAAATGTTGATATTTGGCAGCAGTATATCAATAAAGCAAGAGGCAGCGTATACAATAAACTGAAAAATGTATTTTGTTCCATCTGAAAATGACCAGCAATTAGAGCCCATGTAGATAGCAGGGAATGTCAAAATTCATAGCACTAAATGTTCATGTTCTGCAAAGAATATGGGAACTCATTATAAGGTATTACCGAACCAACGCCTTCAGTGTGTCAGGCAACAACCCTAAGGTATTGCAAATGTCACTAATGAGGAGAAGGGGCCTCATGGAAATAGGGGAAAATTGAGTTGAGGTATTGTCTGGACAGTGTTCAGGATATACAGAGGCACTTACTGTCCAAACATGAAGTTGCAAAGCATGTAATAAAATCTAATTATAACTCTGTTACCAGCCATTCTTACCTATAAACAATATGTCAACTTTCTAGCCACTATCAAATGGGGGAAAAACACTTGGAAAAAATGCCTATCCGATTCAATTAGCTACCTGTTCATAGTCATCATGTCATAACTTTTCACAATCAGACAAGTTTTGCTTTTTGTAATAGTTTCTTCTGTTCTGTTATACACAAAACTTTGCTTTGTGTCATAATTCATATGTCATCCACAGTTCTTGTCCTGTTTCACATAAATTCTTCTTTCTTGTTACCAATACTCAAAACAAAACATTGGGCAGGAAAACACAACAGTAAAAATCATTTTCAATTCAGATAAACTTCTAAATACACTTCCGGAAAAACAACAGCCACTATAAACAGAAGACGTGACTTAGATAAATATAACCACATCTGTAATAGGATAAACCAGATCAATGGCGTAGTAGCTCATCCAGGTAGAGATCCATCACAATTCACAGGTTACTGCTCATAAAATGAGAAACAAAATTTGGTTGAAAGCCTATTAGGCGATCATTGAGTGCAATAGGAAGGAATAGAGAATCATGTGAATTATGGATGAGGGATGCTTCACTGTGACATAAAATCATCGGTCATTAAGCCGAATTCGTTTTAAAAAATAGTTTTTATTCTTTTAAGGTGGAAAATTACGTTCTCTCCATTTAGGTAGATCTTAAAAAGAAAGTAAGTAAGAAAGTAAGATATTTAGACTGGCAGTTTACTTTAACCTGCTATATCTTTACAATGTCAGCTGTCACCTACACTTCACACCTGTTATGTTCGGAGCAAAAGCACAACAGCACATCATTGTTATAAGTTTAGGCTATAAAGTTGCATGACTTCCTTTTTTTTTTTTTTAGAACAAATAAAGTGACACTTCAAGTTATGAGAGGCCAGTGACACACAGACAAGCAGACAAGTGTTCACTTTAAAACAGTCTATTATAACAATTTGTTTCCATTAGCTAACCCATGCTTTCTTAACACACCACTGGTTTTGAGTAGGTTGTAAGAAAGAACTCCAATTTAACACTCCTACTGGGATCTCCCTCCCACGCATGGGGTATAACATGGAGAAAGATCCTCAGCCCACAGCCCCATCCTCAAATCGATAACATGATATTTGCAGTTACACCACAAACTGCAATATAACAACTAAAAACAAATGACAAACCGTGGCTCCATTCATACAGAAATCAGTTCATTGTTTTTCCAACCACTGCAGCCAAGGTAAATTTCTACACTGAATGTGCAAGAAACAATATGAACAGAAAGTAAGTAAAAACAAAACAATTCATCTATTAAGGGTTTTCAAGGCAGTAGTGCCCCCTGATGGATGTTAGTTTAATTTGAATGGTAGGATCATTAAAAACAGAGTCGCTCAAAACAATCACACTGAGGCAGATAGCTGAAATTTATAAGAAAAAAACCTATTACTGATATGTATTATAGATACTGAGGGACGGATTTGATCCTCAGTTATAGGGTAGAACAGCAACAGGGTTCAATCACCTTAGACGTCCTCTGTCCTGCTCTAAATAAAGGCTTACAAAGCAACATTGTGGGCACTAAAGGGGAAAACCTTTTTTTGTATAAAATACTAATAACAGCAGGCTGCTGGTGATTTCTTTTGTTTTGTGTGCTTTCACCTGTAGAAGTTGATCTCAGGATAATTGCCATACTCGGACTTGCGGGAGTTGCGTCGAGGGAATGTGCAGAAGAAGGCGTTGGCCAAAAGACAGGCTATTTGCTCCTGAGAAAGGGTCAGAGACTGATTCATCCTTGACTTAAGTAAAGGAATTGGCTGTAAATAGAGAAAAAAACAGAAAAATCAAAAAATCCAAACAGTGATTTGATGATACAATGCCAATGCTACAGTGACAAAGCAAAAAGTAAGAGAAGGGATTACAGTAACAAAGACAGATGCAGAAAAAAAATACAGACAAAGTAATATGGGTTTAGTGGTGTAGGCTAAAGAGCTAATGAGGATAGATAATTAGTTTAGCAATCTAGCAAACACTGAGAGTTCCATTAGCTAAATGGGTGGTAGCAATTAAGGTCCCAGTTCTCTTGCTCTCCCCCAGGTTTGTTCAGTCAGGCACACAGGGCCCATCCATCTTCACTGATTAAGGCTAAAGAGCCTCCCAAGGCTGCCCAGTTAGCAGATCAATACCAGCTCTAATAACGCACATATAAATATTAGGCTTGACGCTTAATACTGCCAAACACAGCTGAGAGAGTCAGAAAGCTTCATTATTCAATATCTGCAAATAATGCCCTTTAAAATGGAATCTGTAACAGAAACTCCATCCTCTAGTTAAAGTGGATAATACTTAAACCTCTGCCCCTGGCTCTCAACGTGAACAGGAACTAGAGGGATTCCCCTATCCCGCAGTGGGAGCTGAATTCTCTTTATTAAATTATACTGAAGACTGAAATAGATAACGTGATTACAAAAATACCAATCCTGTAATTCTCAGATAGCTAAAATTGATGACAGAAGAGGGAAACAAGGACAAATGGACATGACATTTAAAAGAACTCTGACATGGATCTCCATGTAATGTGAACTGCAAAAAGGCCTTCTGGGGTTCAAAGCGGCCGATTTCAAACCCACACTACCAATGTGTCTTGCTTGGAACAGGAATACTTGTGGAAATCTAAAGCGATAGACTGCATTTTAAAATTCAGAAGTCCCAACTTAGTGCACCGAATTCACAAAAAGTAAGTGGAGTTTCCTAAGTGCACAAGCATAGCACATGAAATGGATGGCAGAACATGGACCTCTCCTCTCCCAGTCCTCTTTTCTAATGAAGCAGTTCCTGATATGGACCAAAGAGTTGGATTCATTAGCTGCGAGTTGTAACTCATAAGTTGATGCACCATCTAACCCGTCCTGCTAACTTACCACACTTTTATCCGTCTTCCTGCATACCTTAAACACTGCTACTTTCATTAGTAACGCCTCACCTTTACACATTTCCAAAGCCCTTAAAATAGATAATTTGGTATAAATACAGACAACAATCAAAACCTACCATTGTGCACAGCCGAGGAGCTTTAAGTGCAAGATCAACCATAGCAGGTAGTACGGTATCAAACAGTTGCTGTACCTCACAATGTTCAAGACACTGAAAAGACAAAAAAAAAATACATGTAAGCTTAAGTATTGTTAAATGAGATATGTGTCGAGCTGACTGCCTACTTAGGCAGTCAGTTACTCGGAGCCAGCAGTCAGAGTGACTGATTATATGTAAGTTGACATATTGTTTTGTCACACCACAGATTTCTCTTAACAAATGGAGAAAAAAAAACCTAACTTTTTGTTATTTATTTAAGAATCAAACCAGTGCTTGTTTTTGTGCTTTACATTTTCTGCTCATTGACTTGAGCATGATTTTGACTTGTTTTTGTCCAAACAAAAAACAAAATCTGTCTTTTTTATGTATAAGTACAAGCTAAGAAGCTACGTCTTCATTTGTTGCACTTTCAACAAATATACTGGAACAACTCATTCATGTAATAAATATGAGTTTTAACATCAATCCATCCATTTTCTTCCCCTTATCTAGTTCAGTGTCCAAGGGGCTGGAGCTTATCACAACTGCCCAAGTGTGAGACACAGGATACAGCCCGGTCGCCAGTCTGTCACAGAGCTAACAAGGACAGACAACCATACACATGCAAATTCATGCATAGGGCTAATTAAGGCTCAAATTAACCTAAACCCACATATGTCACACATTGTTGATGTGTGTTGAATTTTATAAATAAAATAAAAGAAATTTTCCACGCATTGCTTTCCTCATTGAATATTAACAAAAGAAATGATGCACGGGTTTCATGCAATTAAAAAAGAGCCATAAATTATTCCTTGTTTTGTGCATTTGTTGTTCATTTTCCCTCAATTTTAAACGTGCCATTTTTTAAGGTTTAGTATTGTTTTCTTAAGCCCAGGACCCAGGATGTAACTGAAAATCTGAGGATGAGCCAACTGTTTGATTAACTTGACATGGTCTAAAAACAGCTTTACAGCAAGTCAGAGGTCATAACCCTACACCAGTAAGCAATATCTACGCAATTTTCTCTCATATCCAAAAATAAAAACTCAAGTTTATTGTTGTTATAGGATGAACTCCCACTACTCAGATATCAATAATACTTAAACGTCAACAGTGGAAAAAAAACACAGAAACAGAAATGCTGCAGAGGCGTTCACTACACAGAACCCTTTTCCAAAGAAACTACCATCAATCTAGGAATGAGCTCGCCACAGCTGAGGCATCCATACTTCAGCTTGAAGCTTACCTCAGCATCCATCTGCAATTCCCCCTAAAATAAACACCCAGTTATTCCATCATACACCCCAGATTTACAACACAATCATTTATGAGTGTATTGGCTTCGAATGTCACTGTCATCAATCACATGCCTTATTCTATCAAGGTAAGCAGGGGAGCTTGTGCTGATTAAATGGATCTTCTGGGAGCAAATGCAAATGACCAATTGTGGAGAGAGTGGCAGGGTGGCTTGATTTTCCACAGGAAGTCTTTGGTGGTTGATTTGGCCAGGGGCATTTATATGACTGCAGAGCAGGTCTGACTAAATGCTGTCAGGAGTAATGAGCTGGCAGACATCATAAAGCGCTCCTGTGGGACTAATAGATGGTAGCTGGTGATGCGGCAGGATGAGGGCAGAAAGACAACCCCCCCCCCACCCTTTCCACAGCTAGAGCAGCTCACCACAAGGTTAGGGTGGACACACAAACTATACATTTCACATCCATAAATATGACAGACCAAGTTTCATCAGGGCAGTCAGGATTTAGTGCTTCATAGCATAGTGATCGATTAGACATTGATCTTCCATACATTCTAGTCTTTACAAGTCATTTTAATTTTCTGGCAGCTCAACCTTCACAACTCTTGATTTGACTATTTAATTTACAGTTCTTCTAAGGGTGTTTCCCCAATACATTTAGTGTCAAACCCTGCATTTCAAGACATTGTTAACAGTGAGAGAGACGGAAGCAAACAAGCAAGCAACAGCGCACAAAAATGAGAGGAACAGCCTTGTTGTCTTGCTGCTATATATATGTTTGTGTACTGAAACATCAGCTGTACTGTACTCCCGGACTGGGTTTGTGCTTAGCCCTCAGACATTCGTCAGAAAATGACACAGTGACAGTTTCATTCGGCAGAGGAGAAACACTAAGACAATTTACAGACAAGCCCTAATTTGGAAACCTCTTCTTTTTTTTTTTTTTACCTAATGGCTATTACATGCTGAGCGGACTGTCAGTCACAGGCCCAGGGACCACGTATCCCTTCACTATTTTACCTCAGTGATACAAGATGTTGCACCACATTTAATTAGGTTGTATTGGCTTAGAAGTTCAGTGGTTAGCATTCGTAATGACCACAAAAAACAAATATGACACTGAAAACTGTTATATCAATCAGCTGGTTTGGCCACTGTTATAGAATGGCTGACCATTTGTTTCTTCACGACATTAGAGTGTGCATAACAAATAAATCGCTTTGCATGAAACAGGTCTGCCGTAGAAAGACAGCTGTTAATCATTTCTGCTTAAGTGTTGTCATGAAGGTCTGAATGCTTGATACCAGTCACAGCCAGCAGGTGTGCTGTGCCTACGTCTTTCTATTCAAGAATATTTAGTGGGTGGATTCATCACTTGGCTAACTGTTGCTTATGTCAGCGGTCCCCAACAACCAGGCCACGTACCCGAGTCGTTTGGTATCGGGCTGGAACCAGTCCGTGAATCGTTTGCTACTGGGCTACGAGAGTTGAGGCTCGGGTGTGAAATTTATGGTTTTCAGGGTTTTTATTATTCTTTAAACGTTTTTATCGTTAACTCTGTTTCCCTGGGTCTTTTCCCGTGTCTTATGAATAAATCCTCCTTGTTTTGGGTACCAGCACTGGTTTTATTTTGTTGCATTTATCCACGACACCTTAAAGGACGGTCTGTGAAAATATTGTCAGAGATAAACCGGTCCGTGGCGCAAAAAGGGTTGGGGACCTCTGGCTTATGTAATCAAATTCTGGTTTCTACTGTGTCATTTAAACACTGGTTTGTCCTTCTCTAGTGAGCGCCGCTTGCCTTTATAAAATGTCTTTGGAACATAAAAATGACAAAAGTGGGGGAATTGCTGTGGTCACGACAGCGAGCAGGCAGTTGGAGTTGCTGATGAAATTGCTTCCGGGAAGACCAACTTACTGCCTGGCCTTACTTAGCATCCTTACAGACTTAATGGGGGCTTTTAATTAAATTGGATTAAGCTATAAAAAGGCTTAGACAGCTATTGATCTGCCAAGCTTTCTGGCTTACTAAGAAAATATCTCAGAGAGAAGGAAAAAAACAATTCTGAATGGGCTAAATTTAGCTGAGTAATCCACGATGAGAGGGAACAAGCATTAGGTTTAAATAACAATTTGGCTGGACTGTGCCGGATATCACAAGCACTCACTTAATTCTGAACACTGCATTGTTATAACGATTCTGTTCCTAATTGATATACCCAGGAAGAATTTAGGAATAAAACAAATGCTTCTAAATGCTAAACGTAGCTATAAAATTAGGCTTCAAATTGAATTTGCTTTGCCATCTATCTTTAGGCTCTTTTGGGTGGTGGTGTAGTTAAAATATAAAGTTTCAGCCTGTGCAGTAGACATAATAAGTAATAAAGATCATACTTTATCTACAATCTCTAAGGAGAGAAACTCTGTAAAAGGGCTGACACTTTAAAAAGTTATCTTGTAAAATTGAATGACAAGAAATCATTGTCCCATATCTAAAAATGTTATCCTCATAACACGAGTGCAATTATAGCCCCTAACTGTCTGAAAAGAGGATAAGAAGTGTTTAAAAGGATAAAGAGGAAGACAATAAAAAAGAAGACATTCCCCTGGTTCACCTGAAACAGCTGGTGCTGCTATGCTCTGTGCTCATCTGTCCTAAATGTGCTCCCGGGAGACTCACAGGTACCGTGAGGGGATGACACACACTAATGGGCTTACAGTCAAACAAAGACAAGCAGATTCCCTTTGCGATAACAACTTTACTTTACTATCAGCTTTAGATTCATTCTTCATTAGACTAACATTTAACCAGATAATCATGGTGACTTAAATTTTGCTGGGACTTACAAGTCAACAAGGCTCAACTTGTCCTGTACAGACATGTCTGCTATATTCAGCAAACATGTCTGTACAGGACAAGTTGTTGGAATTAAAACATTTTCAGTAGTCCATTAGGAAGTTGTGCTAATATTATGCCTTTTCTTTTGTACAAGACAGGCCCATAAACATCAGGTAACAGTCGTATACTGAACATCGTACCTCTGTACAAAGAAGGTTCAGGGCAGTGAAGTCCCATTTCTTTGCATGGGCTGTGTTATACCTAAGGATTGCATCCTGAAGAGAAGAATGAGAAGTTAGAAGTCAGACTGAAAATGTAACATTTGCGCACAAAAGTACAAATCTGGTTTTATAAATGGTGTAAAATACAACTGATGCAAACTCTGCCACCATGTGGTTGCTTATGGAATACGATTTGTATCTTTGCCATTGCTTTCACAATACAATTGGAAACAAATATGCTCAGAAATTCTTCAATATTATGTAAAACACTTAAAAGCCTACTGTGGTCATTTGTTTGGCAACTCTGGCAACACAAATTTTTTCTGCTTTTTGAAACAGTTTACAGGAGTGTAAGTGTTTCAGGGTTTCAACTGCTAAGTTTCCATATTTTAGGTTTGACTAACCAGTGTCTCTGATCTCTTACCCTCACATCCAGACAACTTTTGAACCCCCTCTGCAAAGCAGTGCGGATCAGGTCCCATCGACTTTGGACGCCATTTCCATCCTACACAACATAAAAAATAAATAAATAAATAAATACAAACTTTTCTTACATCAATGTTCTTGCAGTAACTAACTTTATTGTACTGAAATGGCATGTCTGGATGGAGGGATGCTATACAACTATTATACCTCGGTCTCCATAGGAAACAGATTCTTCTCAGAGCAGGGCATCTTCACTGACAAATCATCCCATGCATCCTTGAACTTGGTAGGGTATGGGACAGGGACTTCTCCCTCCCTGAGGAGATCTGTCTGTAACAGGGAAATAAAAATGCAAGAGGAAAACATGTTCTTTACAGGTTACTGTTGTTTTTAGAGAAATTATGATGAAATTAACTGTTTTCCCTTTGCTCATTAAAAGAATGCCTTTTGGTTTATTTTAAAAGCCCCTGAAAGTTAGAGCACAGCTTGGTAGATAGTGTAAAAAATTAAAGAATAAACTAAAATTTCTATAAAAGCTTATCTTGTATAAGGCATTTTAATTGCCTCACACTAAAGGTAAACGCATAGAAAATAAAAATACAAGCATTACATATTTTCAAGTCATACATTTCTTTGATGCGTAATGAACTAAAAGACAACCAGTTTTCAGTGTACACATTAGATCTAATTAAAAAATTAATTACAAATACATTTTCATTCTTGGAATTTAGTGATTGGCAGCATCTAGTTTTTGTGGCAGTGTTTGGTGATGGTAAGAGCAAGTTGTAGCAGTAAAGCAGCACTGACTATGTCCCTGTGGGACGAGCAATGGAGGATAGTCTGATAGGACTGCTACTGACAAGAGCCCCTCAGGGGATCATGGAGGACGGCTTCACTCGGCCCAGCACTGTCTCTCTCATTCTCATTCACCCTGTCTGCATCTCAAGAGCCATTCTTTACATCATCTTTGCCAATCCTCCCAGTCTTCTTTTCTCTTATATAAACACATTTCATCAAGCGATGATACACACTCACCAGACACTTTATTAGGTACACCTTGCTAGTACTGAGTTGGACCTCCTTTTGCCTTCCGAGTTGCTTTAATTACTGTAGCATTGATTCAACAAGGTGCTGGAAATATTCCTCAAACATTGTGGTCCATGTTGATATAATAGCATCACACAGTTGCTGCAGATTTGTCGGCTGTACAGCCATGATCCAAATCTCCTGTTCCACCACATCCCAAAGGTGCTCTGTTGAACTGAGATCTGGTGACTGTGGAGGTCATTTGAGTACAATGAACTCATTGTGATGTTCAAGAAATCAGTTTGAGATTATCTGAGCTTTATGACACATTGATGCATGATGCATTATCCTGCTGGAAACAGAAAGATGATAGCCTGTGCACTGGGATCATTCAGAGATAGATAAACTTAGTCAGCAACAACACTCAGGTAGGCTGTCATGTTGAAACAATCCTCAGTTGGTACCAAAGTGTGCCTAGAAAATATCCCATAGACTATTACAACCACCACCAGCCTGGACAGTTAATGCAAGGAAGGATGGAGCCAGGTTTTTATGCAGTTTAATTCAACTTCTGAATCTACCATCAGAATGTCACAGTACAAATCAACACTCGTCAGACCAGGCAAAGTCTTTCCAATCTTCTATTGGATCATTTTAGTGAGCCCATGTTAACTGTAGCCTCAGTTTCTTGTTCTTAGCTGACAGGAGTTGCACTTAGTGTGGTCTGTTGCTGCCGTAACCCGTCTGCTTCATGGTTCAACATGTTGTGCATTCAGAGCTGCTCTTCTGCATACTTTGCCTGTAACAACCGGTTATGTGAGTTACTGTTGGCTTCCTATGAGACTGAAGATCTCTGGGCATTTAACTCTGACATGCCCTTATTAGCCAGAGAACCGCCATTCACTCAATATTTTCTCTTTTTCACATTATTCTCTGTAAAACCCAGAGATGCCTGTGTAGGAAAATCCCAGTAGATAAGCATAAGTATTAAAAGACTGAAAGAGTGAGACAGTAACAAAGGAAGACATTCCCCTGGTTCACCTGAAACAGCTGGTGCTGCTATGCTCTGTGCACATCTGTCCTAAACGTGCTCTCGAGAGACTCCCAGGTATCGGTGAGGGGATGACACACACTAATAGGCTTACAGCCAAACAAAGAAATGCAGATTCCTTTTGCAATAACAACCTTAGTTTACTATCAGCTTCTGCATCATCCTTTATTAGAATAACATTTGAACAGATAATTATGGTGAGTTAAACAAAATCTGCCTCATAGGTTAACAAGGCTTGGTAGTCAGCAATGCGATTTAAATAAATTGCTTTATTTCTTTAGGAGTCGTTTTTTTTCCAAAGTAATACTTTTGAATTACAAATATTCAAGCATGTTGGATGGAAAACATTCTTTTTAATTCCCCATAGCCTGAAATACACAGAGCAGCCATCAACATTCATGACACGTTCAAATTCACTTAAATAACCTTTCTTCCCATTCTGATGCTTAGTTTGAACTTCAGCAGGTCATCATGAACATATCTGTATTAGCAAATACAAAGATCCACAAAAGAAGAAGTGGCTGTTGACTCACCCTGACTGTGACAGTGTGATGAGGTGCTGATTTCAGGTGGGACAGAGGAGGGGCACACTGGGGTAGTCTGTTCAGCTCATCTATGGGCGTCCCCTGCCATTTTGTCTCAATGTTATGTGATGGGCATGAAACACTATACAGAAAAAAGGCAGAACAGGTAAGCAGACAGCAGATTAACTAAAGGACATTATGAATATAATGGCACTAGGGCACAAAAAAAAGTTGTAGTGAAAATCTTTCCAAGGACCTTTGCAAAATTGTATCTGGCTGGCTTTCAATTAAGTCCTGGCTCATATTAGATGACCCACTGTGGTCTGCTATTTCAGCATCCTCGGATCCGATTGCAGGAAGATGTTCTCTTTCTTTGGTTGAACTTCCTGGATCAGAGTCTTTGATAGTCTGCTGAGATTCCATTACCTGAGCCTTTGCAAAGGCAGAGTGCTCTGCACAAAAACCTCCATCACAATCCTGGTCTGCAGAGTTGTTGAACATGGTTTTACAGACTGGACTATCAGGACTGAGCATCTCCACATCAATGGGGGTACACTCTGGGTTTTTGGAACTAAAACTAAGACAGGGAGGGAGTTTTGTATTGGTAGTGTGTGCAGCAACACAGGTTGTCTTAGAGGGGTGAGGACCTGGTGAACTGGGCCTCTTAGATTTCTGCCCATTAGAACACTGTGTTGGAGCTGTGTTACTTTTGCTGCACGTGAGCACAGCTTCATCCGTGTCACCTGCAGACCTACAGTCCATCAAATTCTGGGAAGACACATCATCATGTGTGTTCTCTGTTTGTGTACTGTATCCTGTAGCGCCAGACGTTTGTGGTTCAAAACAGAGTTCATCACTTTCATCTGTGAGGTTAGTTTTTGGAGCATCATTCTTTACATCTTCTTGATTAACCTCAGCATTTAAACTGCTGCAAAAAAGAAAGAAAATAAAACATATAAAATATACTTTTATCATAATCACACATTTTCCATCAATATCTTCTTTAATTAGCAGTACATTGGAAATTACTCATGCAAGACCAAGGAAACTGTTAACTTGGATACTTTACCTCGTTTGAGAATCCATAACTTCATCCACGTTTAACACGTCATACAAGACTAATCAGAACCAGCTGTATTAGAGAGAAAGAAAGTAAATATGCTGGCACAGTAAGAAAAGGCAGTTTATATACACTCATCATTGGCATGTCAGGGTAATTTGAGGCTTTTAATGGTTTCTTTGAACTTTTCCAGGGTGGCATGATTGTGCAGCAAGATAATTACTTCAAACAACTGTACATAAGTACAAGTTATGCGGCTGTGTGTTTTCCAGCATCTGGAAATATACCCAAAGTTTTAGAGAGGAATTGGTAAGGATGCTGTTCAGTGATAACCCTGGAACTACAAAGGCTAAGCCTCCCGTGAAGTAT